CCTCTTAAATTGGCTGTTGTGACAAAATAAATAAAAAACAGAAAAAAAAAAATATTATTTCCACACCATGAATAATAATTATTTTGACGTGAAAACGCCCGATTACATTTCTGAAACTGATCTTAGCTCTTCTGAAAAGAAAAGGTTTCGAATAACTCGTGCTTGGTAAAATATCAGTATAACTGTTATAACAACTCTTTTTTTTAACAATATAAATAGCGATTATTGTAGAAAAAAAAAGGTTAAATGTTATTTTTCACCTGGTCAAGCCTGTTCCAATTGCATCTCTTATGGAATCACTTGTGAATTTAACGATGGGTAATTAACCTAAGATAAAATAATTAAACTACGAGAACCAGATACTTATTTTATTTTATTTTACTCAGTGCTAAAAAACGAGGACCGCCCAAAGGGTAAATTGTGGATATATTTGATGCGTATGTGTAATAACAAAATTCATAGATACATTGATGCATTAGAAAAACGAATTCGAAAAATTGAAGAATCGTTACAAAATCCCAGTATAAATACTACACCTTCACCTGTACCCCATCATCAACCTTCACCCAGGCATGATCCGATACAATCTAGCAGTAGTAAAAGACCTCAAGGCGCGTCATCTGATCGAGTACAGTACTTAGGTGATATGTCGAGTTTTCAATTATTCTCCAATAAAATACGATTAGATGATAAAAATACAAAGTGGAAAGGGCATCATATTCGTAAATTTGGTAATCAAGTTGTATTAGTAGAAGATGGGAAAGAAGAACAAGAAAATATAGCCGATATACCTCAAACTCAATTACTACCGCATGTAAAACCAATTCATTACTGGATTTATTCTGTTACAGGTGTGGATAGACATACAAGTGATAGGTTAATAAAAATGTAAGTGTATCTATCTTATTTTTTTGTTTGTTTGCATGAATACTAAACACAATGAATCTAGTTATTTCGCCAATATTCACCCAGTACTGCCTGTAGTTAATAAAACTAGATTTTTACAACAATACAGAGATCAAGCTGATACTTATCCTCCTTCTGATTTATTAAATGCCATGTTTGGTTCTGCAGCAAGATTTGTTGAATGTGAAGCATTGATTCAAAAAACAAAAGGAAATCGATCCCCCGATGCTGTTTGGGATGTACCACTTGGTTGGTCTGATCAATTCTTTGATCAAGCTCAAACTATCGTAACAACTTCAGCTGCTACGCCAACCATGTCAAAAGTACAATCCATCATTCTTATTCATAATCATAGTGGAAACTTGGACTCGAAATCTTCTGCATGTTGGTTATTAGGTGGATTAGCCATTAGATTAGCTCAAGGTTTAGGTTTGAATCGAAATTGTGAAGAATGGGATATACCTGAAAGTGAAAAACAAACAAGAAAAAGAATTTGGTGGGCATTATATGTTGCTGATAGGTTTCATTCAGCCTCTTTAGGTCGACCGATTAGTATTCGGGATGAGGTAACATATGCTGTATACAATTGTATAAATACCGTTGTTTAACAAAAGTGTTTTATGTCTGTAGGATAATGATGTTGGATATCCTGACCCAACAGCAAGTTGGAAAGAGGTTTTAGATGAGGAAGAAGCTGGTCAATTCGAGCCAACCATACCAAGATTTCCTTCGGCTATGTGTCGACCAAAAAATTCAAATGGCAGAGTAGGCATTTACCAGTTATTTATTGAACTCATTAAACTGTCCGAAATCTTGGGTAGGATTCTGCAGGGCTTATATACCCCCAAGGCTAAAAAAGTAGGGTTGGAACAAGGAAGTGATGCTATTGTAACACAGTTAGATCATCAACTCACTGAATGGCGATTTGGATTCCCTGAAGCATTACAAAAAGCCGATTTTGAGGATTTTGACGAAAGTAAAGGATATCTTGCTCCTGTTACTGGTAAATTATACCAATTAGACTACTTTTAAAATCAAAAACTTACTATTTCTTCTGTCAGCTTCTGTTTTATTATGCTACTTTAGTTTACTGATTTTACTTCATAGACCGTTTATTGAAGCAATGGCAAATGGTAAGAAACCTAGATCCTCTTACTCTTCGTTCAGGATTGGTACAAGTGCCGCTACAAGAGGTATTCGAATTGCTTCTCAAATGACCATCAAAGATTTCATGATGTTTCCGTATTCGTTCAGTTTATATCCTGTACTACAATGTTGTCTTATTCACATGTATAACACCAAAAATCCCGATGCTAGAATATCGGCACCTGCAAAAGCTGATTTAACGAAAGGCATAGGTTTTATTTCTAGGCTTAGAGCTATGTCCAGCACAGCACAACGACTATATCGATTATTAAAAACAATTATGGACAATAAGGAAATTGAAGTATCAGTACCTGCATCAGATTCTGAAGACTCGATACGGTCTAGAGATAATAGTGTGGATAGCTCATCTATGTCTACACGTATATCAGATGTTGGCCGTGGTTGTGCTACCAGTAATAAGCGTGTAAATCATCAACCACCTACTATACCACCTTCCAGGAACATTATGGTTAGCTCGCCCAAAGAACAACAATATCCTATCCGACAATTTCAACAATCTTTATCTGAAGTTATTGCTCCCCCTCGTATGGATGGTTCAGGAGGTAAGAAGCAATACACATATTAAGAGATACGTAAAATTGTAACAAACCATCTTTTTATTAGCATCCGTTTCTTCTGCACCGTCACCTACATCCATGTCAGAAGCTTTCAGTTTAAAGCAATTTGGATTTAATAATGCACTAGGTGATCCCAACCAACTGGATTATACAATGCAAGATATTTCAGCCTTTTCTGGTATGGGCGCACTACCTCCTATGCCAAATATGTACCATCCCACAATGCCAGTGAATAACTCACCGCAAACATTAAACATTAACGTCAACTCATATGTACCAACTGCATCCTCCGCTTCTACTTCCATACCGTTACAAAGTATGTTGGATAATAATAACGAAGGATTGTTTAGGAATAGTCCCAGCAACCCATTCTTCGGCATCCCTTCTTCCATGGACTGGACTGAATGGAATGAATGGAGTCAAAGCCATCAAGGAAACACTACTTGGCACCCACCTACTTAAATAACCGATTTATTTTTACGCTCATTTTAATATATAAAGTCTTGTCATTTTTTTTTCGTTTTAGCAATTTAAGATTGTTTATTTCAACTTTTTATTTAATGAATGTGATACATAGGATACAATTATTTTAGAGGAAATGTTGACACGCATGTGATATATAAGAGCTATATGTCCACCTTTTTTATTACGGTTTACTTACTGCTTTGTATTTTAATGACAATTACAATGATAATATATCAACTTATCCTTTTATACAATTACTGACCTACTCCTTACGGATAATTACTCATATTGAGCGATTACTCCATTCCACAACGGATTAGTTTTATATTTTCAGTCCCCAGTTTTTTTTTCTAGTCCCATCACTCATTGACGTGTGACTAAAAAGGAGAAAGATACGCACCAGGTTTTCGCACCAGGGTTTTTTTATCATAAGGGGGTTTTAGTGATAAAGAAATTTGCTTTACGAGAGTTCGGAGGTCCATTTTTTTCGATTAAAACGTTTTGTTGTTCTTTTTGTCTATGCCCAAAGCATCAATTTTGATGCTTCTGAAGCAAAAAAATGTGTATGATGAGATGCCAAATTAAAAAACGTTTGTTTTTCGTCAGTGGAAGCCCTTATTAATTGATATGAACACTAGTATTTTTTTTAAAAGATAAATGTATTCCCTATAAAAAAATTTCTCATATTGTCCAGTAAATAATCATTTTGGTTATATATTTTTTTATAAAAAAAATAATGTACATGACTTTATCTTTTAAGTACAAATGTAGCAAGTGAGAGGTATATAATATCTATAAATGTTTATTTAATATCTCATATGAATTACTGGTAAAATAGCTTATCATTTGAACACCTTTAGCACAATTATTTAGTTTAATATCAACCATTTGTTTTATATTCCTACTTTGTATTAAATCTTTTAAGCATCAATACAGAATTGAATACTGTAGAATATCTTTTTATCTGAGAAAATCGAATATATTATAAAGTAAATCGGCTTCATTAAATGTATTGTTTTTAACCTATACTGTCAATAATTGGCGAAAGTTTATATCCATTTGTAAAAAAAATAAAATTAAAGGGGATTTTTTTAAAGGGGACGGGTACGAAATAGTTTTTTTTATATTTTTGAGGGTTGAGAAATAAAAAGAGTAAAATGTAGAAATGACTAGGGCGTTACATATTCCCTTTGATAATTTTGATTTGCTAAAACGGGTAAATTTACTTCTTCAGTGCCAGGCTTTCCTATATTCTCCTTTAGTATATCAAAGTCGTTTGATTATATAATGTATTACTTACCATTTTTGTTTACAAAGGTATTCAAGTCACCAGTAAACTCTTTCGGTGTAATTTGAGCAGTAAGTTGATTCCAATTTTTATATATGTGTTTATACAGAGCTGCTTTGTGCCTTTTTGGCACGCGTGTTTTTTTTTTCTGTGCGAATACCATTGTACGTAAAACAATCCGCCGTAATCAGACATTTGCCATACTTATTGCTGTTATATGATTCAAGTGATGTAATAAAATCCCCTACAGAATATTACTATTAGCTTTATGAAACCTTCATATAGCTATTACACTTCACATTACCTTTCACTGATATAAGGTTTTCTTTTTGAAAAAACGATTTTCATTTTCAAGAATACAAATTCTTAGTATCAGAACTGGACCGTCTGTCTCTACAACGTGTAAAAACTTGTTCTCCTTGAATTTCACGATGGCTTTAAAAAACAAATTACCGTAAACGGTAACCTTTTATATGATATTATTTTTTGCATGAAATTGTGTTATCGCATCTCAGATATTAACCAATCAGGACCCGTGTGTCACGCCATTGTCACGTGCGTTTGCGTATTTTTTGTACTTTTTATTATATATAAAATTGTGGTCTACAAAATAACATGGTTTCTTGGTGTAGTTGGTTTATCACGTCTGCTTAACACGCAGACGGTCGCCAGTTCAAGTCTGGCAGAAATCATATTTTTTATGTATTTTATATTTTCGTGAGATGTTAAGATATGAGTTTTTTTTTTTTTATTATTGTCGTTAGCCGCCAGACTAAGTGAAGAATAAAAAGGAATTACAGAGATTTGTAGTGGTACTACGTTCGGTTTAATTGAGGTTTTATTTCTTAGAGGAGAAGTATAGTTTTGAAGTATACTTGAGTGAGCACCACGTTGTTGTTATTATACTTAAAATAAATATAAAGTATATAAACTAACGTTTATAAAGAAAAAGAAAATAAAAGAAGAGAGTTTACAATGGATAATAATAATAATATATATCCAAGGGATCTTTTTATAATAAGACTATAATGTAAAAGGATTATAAGTAAAAGTTAAGGTAAAAGTGAGATGGTTTTATTTAGGGTAGGCATATATAATGGTATTTATACTAAATAAGTTCGGTAAGTTTGTCCTTTAATAAATATCAAAGAGACCTTGAAATATAGTTTGAAGGATATTAATAAAAGTGATAGAAAGTTATGTAATAATAAATGTTTCAATCTTTCATTCTAGAATACCTGACATTTGACGTTCTTACATGTAATATGTAATATAAAGAGAATAAAAAGGATAAGAAGAGTAAAATAGTAACGGTACCAATATGTGTAAAATATGTTAAGCAATAGTAATTATAATGAAAAAGGAGTCTAAAGTGACTAAAAAGGAGAACAATAATAGATATGAAATAGTGTAACAGTAGGAATAACTTGGGAAATAGTAAAAGTGTCAGCACCAAGAAAGATAATTTGAATAAAATAATTGTGCAAATAAAAGTTTGATGAGTATGAAAAACACAGCGCGTAACATTATGGACAATAATCTGAAATTTAAAATATTCTGGAAATATTCGTTCTGCTTGGAAAGAAAGAAAAAAAAAAAAAAACTGTACACATCAGGTATAAATAGGTACGAACTTTTGGTTTTAAACTCTGTTCTTTTTCTTTACTTGGTTAGTGGTGCTTAGTATTGATGTATTTCCTTATTACTCTCTTGTGCATCCCTTTGTTCGAAGTTGTAGCTTTTCAAGATTGGCGCCGATGAACTTTTGAGGGAAGGTATCATAATATACACAAAAAAAGAAGAGAGGAAATTTCTTTTACAAGACTTGGATCGGTATTATATATTTGGCTTCAAAACTGCTCTCGTTAGATGAATCTATCTGATTTTTCTTAATTCATATTGTCAACTAGTCGCCCAAGTATACAATATTGCTTGTTTGATATTATAAAACATGCCGTATAGGTCTTACTTCATAAAATATTAGATGAGAAAACTACGAAAGGCTGTGCTTTACATTTGATACAAGAATATTGCATTGCCATTAGTGTATACTCATACTTTAGGAAGGGTTTATAGTGATATCATGTATATAGAAATCTTTAAAATGCTTGTAATTAGTTCTTAATTTCTAGTTACACTTCAATCCATATAACATTAATACAAATGATAGTGCTGCTCGACACTTGAATTATTTTAACCATTATATTTGGCGTATAAATGTAACCTGTTACGATATTACAACATGATATGCTCTAGTTTACCAGTTGTATTGTTACAAAGAATACGTGCTACTTTAACATCAAGGTAAAAAACCTGGTCAGAAGAATAACTTTTTGCGTCTCTTTTTAAAAGTATCTCGAATACGCGTTTCTCTTGAAATAATTAGTGTGCAATCTTTTAAAAGGTACATATGCTTACATAATTGACCCCCTTTTAGTATAATAGATGTTACGTTCAACGTTAACAAAGTATGTCCCTGTGACTTAATTTTGGCTCAACTCAGTCCCCAGGGCGGCATTATTTTGATACAAAAAAAAAAATATTTTTTTCCCTTTTATATATATTATGGCTGCAAAAACATTTTCAGAAATATACCAACAGTTCGTAAGCAACCAAGAAACCAAAAAACAGGATCCTTTTACGGCTTCTTGTTCCATTTGGTTAGAATTGCAAGATAGTATAGTACGAAGAGTGTTAAAAAAGAAAACACAGACACGTCATCTCACAACTCTTTATTATTAGATTCAAACGGAACGTTTAACGATACTTTATATTTTATATGCTCAATACTCCAACGTACCTCTCGACCATAACCCTTTTTTAACGTTCTTTTTACAACTTTTTGACTCGACACAACCTTTTTCTGTGCTGGAAAAACGATTTGTATATTGTATACTAGAAGAAGATATATCGAGTGTAAGGACCATATATAAATATCTTAAGGATTTTGAAATTTATTTTATTGTTTTTTTTAGCTGGATAATAGAACACCTCAAGATATATGCCAAAATTCAGATAATTTATTACCAGCGTTAGAAGATATACCAAATAATATAGATACACTTCGATTAAAAGTGGCACGTTTAATTGATGATCCGTAAAGTAGTATACAGAAAGTAGAAAAAAAGAAGGATATATGTACTGACAGTATGATTTCCCTTTTTTGTAATTTAGAAATATTGTTATTTTAGATGATAATATATGCTTGTTACTATCAGATGCGTGTACTCGGATATTAACATTAAAAGAAAACGAAAAGTTAAGGATGGAGAGTTTATCCAATTACCAGCTTACTGAATATGTTGCACCGAGCCAAATCAGTCGATTAATCGACTTGAATCAGTTTCTTGCGCTTGATATTGTGCCTTACTTGTTAAGATCAAGTAAATCGCAACTGTAAGGACGCATTTCTAACAACAACAAAAAATGCGAGTTAACATTTTGTAAAATATAGATATCTGGAAGCACTGCTAAACTCAAATATTACGATTCACTCACTAGAAGTCATTCACCATATTTTGGTAAATAATGTTCAATTATCGCCAGACTTTATACATTACTATATATCCAACAGTATCCGTTCTTGTGACGAGTTAGAAGAGGGACCAGGTAAAGATCGACAGGTCAAGCAAGTAACAAGGTTCATTCAATCTCTACTAGAAAAGAAAATCATCCCGATGAAAGATTACTTTGTTGAAATACAGTCGTTTTGTATTTCCTTTATGAAACTAAAAGGTGTTGCCAACCTGTTTCGATTAGCTTCGCAAGAAGCTCAACAGCAAAGAATAAATTTTTGATTGGTTTTTACCAAAAAAAAAGCGAGTCATGTTTTTCTTCTCTTCCTTGTATTAAAAAAAAATATTTTTCTTTATTTTATTTTTTTCTCTTTTCTTTGTTAAAAAAAACTTATCGCGTATAATATGAGTGATTGGGGTAAACATGTGCAGACGTCGAAAAAAAGAAAAGAAAAAGAAAACTAAATAGTATATATGTATATTTAGAGGAAGAAGATATCGATGTTAAGGTAGAGGTTGTTATTCCTAAACAAAACAAGTGGGATGATGAAGATGTCGAGGAAGATGTCAAAGAATCTTGGGAAGATTCTGATGAGGATGAAAAGTCTGATACCAAGAAACCTGCACCTGTTCTCAAAAAGAAGGTCCCTATCAAACAAAAGATTGCTGAAAAGTTAGCTGCTGAAGAGCAAAAGAAGAAGGAGTTGGAAGCCAGAAAATTAGCTGGTGAAGACGAGGAAGATGAAGAGACCGAGGAAGATGCTTATGAGCGTAAGGAACGTATGCGTCGTTTAGAACTAGAAGCTGATATGATGAACGCTACTGATCTTTTCGCTGGTGTTTCTGTTGGTAAGTGATAAAAGAGAGACAATGAGTGTGTAAATGGGTTTTCCTAATGCCCCAAAAAATAGAGGACATGAAAAATAAACCTCTCGAAGAATGGACACCCAAAAACCGTGTCGAAATGGAAGCCTATCGTAAGCGTTTAGTTGAATTGATGACTTTCGGTTCTGTAAGTAATATAATAATAGTTCTAGTATAAATCGTCATCAAAGAACTAAATTCATCCCCTTCCTTTTGATTGTAGAAATCTATCAACTATGGTTGGTTCATTGATGAATTATTACGTGATATTGCTGTACCCTTGAAGGATACTGAAGTCAAGAAGATTGCTTCTGCTTTAACTGTGATTGCCAACGAAAAGCAAAGAATTGCAAAGGATGCTCTCAAGAAGGGTAAGGGTAAAGGTAGACCTCAATTAGCCGCTGCCGGTAAGAACTCTGCTGCTGATGATTCTTATGCTGACAATGGTTATGATTATGACGATTTCATGTAATAAACGATTAAAAAAAAAAAAAATTAATTTAAATAAATGTATCAAATAAATAAAAAAACCCCAGTGTGTGGTTTTTTTTTCTTTATCAAAGAAACAATACCGGAGGTATTTCGGTTTGATAGAAACATTATTACTACCTTTTTTTTTAAAGAAAACGTAATGTATCTCTTTGCAGGGGAAATGACACAGGTTGGGCGTTGATAAGATGAACTACATGTCCTTTTTCCAGCTATCAAGACATATTTGCCATCCAGAACATAGTAACCTGAATGAATGTAATACAGATCATCTGGTTGCATAGCAACCAGGGAAACTGACTTTAAAATTCGTAATTTACAGTTGGGAGAGAGAGAATTACCTCTCTTTCTTTTTTTTTTTTTTTCTTTTTTTTTCTTTACGCATACACATTTTTTTTTTAATAATAATAAAAAAGATGAACGAGTTGGAGACTCCAGAGAAATCGAAAAACAAAACGGTGGGTAGAATATCAAGATTATTTCAAAAGAAACCAAAAAAAAAGTCAATGGCTTCTTCAGTTTCATCAATGTCTTTGTCTGATCCAGCATTATCTAAACAAAATACTTATCAAAGTTCTTCAAGTATAGCAAGTTCTCAACAAAGTATAGCAATGTCAGAAGGGCCTAAAAGAACCACATCATTAGAAGCACGTAGCAATCATCAATCAGATACAGGTAAAATAGATTACCCCTTTTTTTTTTTCAGTACATGTATATATTAATTCAATATATATATAGCGTCTATTCAATCTAAATTAACAAGAACTTTATCAATGTCCAGTAATAACTCGATGACTATTCAACAATTAATAAACCAGCAACGT